ACCTGTCCTTTGTGTTGGTATTGATACTATTATGCTGTCTCTTATACACATCTAGATGTGTATAAGAGACAGGTGTATGTGTGTGTGTGAGTGTGTGTGAACGCATTTACGAACCTGTGGGTCTTTGTGGTCATGTTCACTCTACACAAGTGAGTCTGAATCCGTCCTGGGCAGAATTGTGATGTTGTTATCGCTATACACAGAGGAGGTGGTCCCCCGCCCCCCCCCGCCCCCCCTCCTCCCTCACGCAGAGGAGGTTGGACCCCGGCGGAATGCATCCTGGGTGGAGGAGATCGAACCCCGACAGTCTGCCCAGGACGCTTTTGGCTGATGGACAAGGACTGTCACCACGTCGCCCAGAATTGAGTCATGCTTTTTCCTGTGGAGCTGTGTATAGGGCCTCGCTCCTCGCTCCACGACTCACTAAATGTACATTAAGAAATGAATCTCTAACTAGAACACGGAAAGATGCACCGCCATATTTGTTGTCTTTTGTGCATGTTGTGAGTAGTCGAGCCATGTCCACAATACTGTATAATGAACATGACATCACACACACACACACACACACACACACACACACACACACACACACACACACACACACACACACACACACACACACACACACACAGAAGGAAAGACAAAAGTAGGAGTGTCCATCGTTGGTGTGAGTACAGTCACTCTTGAGAGCGAAAAGTGGGCGACTTCAGGCAGACCGACCCCGCTGCAATCCTAGCAGGCTGTGTACCTCGTCAAACAAACCCGTTATTCTGACAGCCAGGGATGTTCGTTGACATGACAGCTATGACGGTCCCCACCACCCTACTGTCTTCCCAGAATGCATTCAACTGATGGGTAAGAAGAACTCACTGTGTGGCCCACGGTTAGCAATATAACCCTGAGAAAAGAGGTCGATTCTACTCACGCCAACCCTGCAATCCTTGCAGACTGTCGGTCCAAACCTCTGACAAGAATGGCAGCAAGTCTGAGAAACTACTCTGTCACACAGTCACATATGTGTGTGTTGTTGTCATACTCGCCAACCACTCAAAACAAGCATGACTGTCCGTGCATTCAGAGTGTTCCAAAGTTCTAACCACTCAAAACAAGCATGACTGTCCGTGCATTCAGAGTGTTCCGTAGAACTTTCACCGACTCATCAGGAGATTGTGTGTGTGTGTGTGTGTGTGTGTGTGTGTGTGTGTGTGTGTGTTGTTAAAGCACCGCTATTTCCCTCTCTCATTTCCTCTACAAATCATAACAAACCATCCATAACGAAAAAGTACAGACAGAAAGTATAATAGAAAATGCAAGGTTGGCCACGCTTGTTTGTTTTTGTGTGTGTGTGTGTGTGTGTGTGTGCGTGTCTGTTGTCAACAAACCCCTCTCTCTCTCTCTCTCTCTCTCTCTCTCTCTCACACACACACACACACACACACACACACACACACACACACACAC